AGACGGAAGGTACACTAATGGCGATAATGTCTCTGTCTCTAAAGAGAAATTTAGAAATTCAGTATGTACTTCAGCCAATTCCCAGATGGCTCCTGCAGAGTGCATCTTTCTGTGTTCTGCAGTTGTTGATCTACTTTACTTGTTTGATAGTTTCTTTCTCTTTTTGACGTTATTTTGGGCACTCTCTTCCTCTTTGTAGGTGGTGACAGCTGGGATGGTAGGGCACAGGGCAGGCAAACTGCTGTTGTGAAATAGACTTTTGAGTTTGTGATGCACTGCAGAGTTTTCTCTTAACCAGTGATCCTTCCATAGTATAAACTAATATTGTGCATTTGATGGCATTTCTAATATACATAGGAAGTTTGTGAACGGTTTGACTGTTTGCACAGCGAGAACATGTAGAAACTGTACATGTCTCTGGTGATGGGACTGCACCACCTGCGACATGCGTCACAATCTTAAAACTGGAATGCATGGATTGCATACCTCATGCATGTTTTTTTTTTTGTTTGTTTGTTTTTTTTTGTGCACGACAACCGTGCTGTGTGGCCTGTTACTGATGATTACCTGTGCATGTTTCAGCCCACCAAAACAAGCTGGAGGAGATGATCAATGAACTGGCAGTTGCAATGACAGCTGTAAAGCATGAGCAGGAGTACATGGAGGTCCGCGAGAGGATACACAGAGCAAGTGAGTACTGAAGCAATAATGCCAAGAACAAGTTTGTCGTGTTAATTGTTTTAGTGTGATTTCACAAACTGCTTCTTCTTCTTCTTCTCTCCAGTCAACGACAACACAAACAGCAGAGTGGTGCTGTGGTCGTTCTTTGAAGCTCTGGTTCTGGTGGCAATGACACTTGGACAGATTTACTACCTGAAGAGATTTTTTGAAGTACGGCGAGTGGTGTAGTGTGATTAAATGATCCCTCTGTGTCCTCCACTGTTTTCTCCAACACCAAGACAGTTATTTACACTCTGGAAAGGAGACTGGCAGTTTTGAGTAAAGCCTACTTATGATTGGATCTCAGATGTTTTGTTCACCTGTTACCTATTTGGTTCCCTCTCAAAAAATGTAATTAGTGTTTGTTTGGAATGAATGGCCAAAACATTCTGGGCTTGTTTTTTTTTTTGTCTAACAGATTTTATTGTTTGATCATTACAGTTAAGTACCAATTACTAGCCAGTACAGTTTTGCCTGTTTGAATGACTGTGAGGCTCATAATTTTAAGTAAAGGCAGTCGGATGGAAAATAAATGCACAGAAAAGGACAGGCATGTGTGGAGTCCCCACAGGAGAATGTGGCTCTTATAAGATATAAACAGGACCCATTTTCCTAATATAAGAAATAAAAAAAATGCATTTGTTTTGGTCTGAGATGCAGGAGAATTTGTTTCCAGTGTCTAAGTCAGACGATGTCCTGGCAGATATGCGATATATTGTGTTAATGCTCTCAAACAACAAATTGCACTCCTGATGAACACATCGAACTATCTGAAGGACCTACATTTGGTCTTTAAGGGAAACTGTACAGCTTCTAGCTCTGTTTTATTCATAGCGATCCATGCCACGGGTGGGTGTAAACGGTGTGACTTCCTACGTAGTTCAGAAAATGACAACAGGCGAGTTGTTTCTTGGCCCAAGAGTTCACAAGTAAATTTTCTTAAACTTTCACTTAGCAGTAAGTCCTTGAAGAGCTGAGGCAGGTTTGGATTTTAAACTGATCTGTTTGGAGTGCAACTCCAAAGCAAAGTGTAGAGGAATACAGAAATACATGTTACATGTTGATTGCGGCTGGCTGGCTGGGTGGGGGGGGGGGGGGTCTGACACCTAATGACTGCTGTGTGCTTTAGTTGCTTCTACTATAGTTTTCTGTTGGGGTTGGGGATTTTAAATTATATGATTGTATACAATTTTGAACTGTTTATTTTTTTTCCTGGAGCATATCCTGTGACACGCAGCTTTTTGGATGATAGCTTTCAGATGATAATCTTCTACCATCATCTTTCCCCATGCAAGGTAAAGCTTATATCCAAGGCAGTAGCTTCACATCCAGCGCACAGCTGCAACATCTGACATGTTGCGTGTTACTGATTATGCTTCGGTTTTGTATTAAAAAACAGTCTTTGGTGAGCTCAGGCAGGTAAACTGCTCTGTACACAGTCTCTCCCTTTTTGTGATTACAGACAAATCTGATAAATGGATCTGTACAAATGTCTGTGGAAAAATGCCCCATGTTTCATAATAAATCCAATATTCTGTACAACTGCTTGGGTGCTTTTTAAACTGGTGGGAACAAAGTTTGACTGCAACGGATTAAAGCTCTTAAAGTACTGTACTGTTCTGAGGTACTCGTACTTCACTTGAGTATTTCTATTTTGTGCCGTTTTATTCTTCCAATCCACTACATTTCAGAAGGAAATTTCGTACTTTTTACTCGACATTACTTATTTTACGATTAATAATTTGGCCAGCTTATAAAATGTCCCAACAGTGTATGAAACGGTTTCACATCAACCAAGTGCAACAGTAAAATGCTGCTTATACATTATTGCATCAGTAAAAAATAGCGTATTATTGAGACCTGCTGATAATATTTGTGTACTTTTATTTACATTATGTAAGATTTTAAATGCAGGAGTAGTGTTTTACAGGTTAAGGGGCAGGCTTGTGTGTTTTCCGACAACCTGACCCAGTTGTTGCTAAACAGGAGGCACTTATGTTCAATTTTGTAGTATCATTGGCCATCAAAACATCTGTTTCACCTGTCACAGGAACCAGCATTTTTCTGGACCAAGCACAGACAGAGCCACACAAGGAGCTGCCTGCAATCAGGGAGTCCAGGATCAAAAAGAGCTTTATTGCCAAGTAGTGTTTTACACGCACAACGAATATGCTATGATGATTAGGTTCAAGACAAAGACAAAAACATACAATTGACATAAATAGATTTAAAACTATATACATATGGAATAAACAGATGCAAATTATAAAATAATTATAGAACTGTGTAAAAGAAAAACTGATCAATGTGGCAGTTACTTACATGTGTATTACTGTGGATTTGTATTGTCCAAACATATTACAAAATAAATATCTAATATGGCAGTATATATATCTGTAAAAATCGCACATCAGCTTCACCTACTACTTCTGTTGTAGTAATTTCTCTAAGCCAACAAGCCAGAACCAAAGACAACATCTGTTTATCTTTGAAAAGGAATTCATGCAGAGGTTTAAATCAGACAGCTTTGTTGCTGCAGCCGCTGAAGGCTTTAATGTCAGTCATGTAAAGCAGACCACTCAAATACTGTATCTCTTAGCTTAGCAGAGCTTCAGTTTGAGAGGCTGGAAAGACTGTGTGCAGCCATCGTGTACCTCTTTGCATACTCATGCAGCATCATTCAAATCATTACTCAAGCCCTGCAGAGTTTTGACTATGTGGATGCTGCTAGACATGAGTCAGCAACCATGACTAACTGGTTTGGGTTCAAGTTTGATGGTGAGTAAGCTGAAGGCCTTTTTTGCCTTGCACTTCTTCACGGCATACTACTATTATCAGCCAGATGGCACAGACTTTTTGCCAGAGAAGTCAACTCAAGAGCAGGTTAAATATGCCACCTGCGAACTGCCCTGTGATTATTAATGTGAAATCTCCTTAATTATTCATTATAACACCACCCCTGCTACATGAGGCAGATCATGATTGAACCTTATCAGGTGCTGTACCAGACTCTCTCCAGCTCAAGTCCACACTTCAGGCCTGTACTTCTATCAGCAGGACCACAATTATTGATACAGGTGAGCAGCAATCTTGTCAGGAAAATGAAAACAGCCTGCAGACTGTCATGGACAAGTCTGCTGAAGGAGGTATTGCTGCCACCGGCACATTAATTACAGATAGCTTAGCACTTCTCTCACTTCCAAATCCTTTACATTTCATCTCTGCTGCCACTGATGCAGACCTCTACTCCAGTGGTACTCAAACTTTTTCACGTCAAGGACCCCTAATGGGACACAAATTAGACCATGGACCCTGTTTGATAAGATTTTGTCCCAGGGTCATTAATCCCAATCTGATAGGATTGTCCATTAATTTTTATGTGCATGCCTTTGAATAAGTTGCAATGTAAAGCATACATGTATGTAAGATATACTTCTAATAATTAACAAAAAGAATATGTTGCTGAAAAAAGGGGAACCAATCAATTTGAAGATGAGAACAAAAAGGTCAAATAGGATTAAAGTCTATTGTATTGCCATAAAAAAGTATTTTGTAGTTTCATATCACTAATTGTTGTCTTACAGTTTTGGGGAAAACACAGTTCAGCATGAAGTAAGTGATCTGGTGGTGGAATATAACACATTACATTAACTGTACTTAAAAACTGTTTTGAATCACTTGTACTTTACTTGAGTATATCCATTTTCTGGTACTGTCTACATGTACTCCATGAGGCAACTTTCTACTATTTAATATTAACTACAAAACATATGAACAGTTTATAAAGCATGGTTGATGAACATTGATTACAATACACAACAGTACAGCATATTTAAAGCTCCTCCTCAGTTCAGTGTGTTTAAATAATTATTGTCAGATAATATATATATAATAAAGGATCTCCGACAGTACTATAATTGTCTTTATTTATAGAGCACATGCTTTCACAAGACAATAAAACACACAGAAAACAGAAAACAAGATACAGAAAAATACAGAAAATTAAAAAATAAATAAACCAGGAAAGGATCTCCTATAAAAGTTTGTTTTAAGACTGCCCTGACTGCAAACTCTCTGTCCCCTTTAGTTTTCAGTATTTAATACTTATACAAGTAAAATTTGTATGCAGTACTTTCACTTCTACTGTGGTACTTTTACCTTCAGTAAAGTACCTGGATTTTTCTTCCATGATTGCAGTATCCACTGCGAGAAAGAAAACATGTCTATGTGGAACGATACTCGTGACCACATCAGTTCCTACCCGGCTTGTAAACATCAGCGCACCCGGAAGTACGTGCAGCGTGGAGAACGAGGCGGCCCAGCGGCGGCTTTAATAACTTTAGTATAAAAATCTGCTTTAAGGTTAATTTCCAACATGAATAATACGACAGACGGGACGTGGGACAGTTTACCTGTTAAACTCAACGACAGCATTTTACTAACGCTCGAGGAACTGAAATTCACACACATGACACCTGTACAGGTAACATTAATACTTCATATAGTACTATATATATATATATAATATTATACTGTCTCTCAGGGCTATAAGTTAACTTACAGCAAAGACAGCACATCTAATTTATTATTATTTTGTCTTTCCAGGCTGCTTGTATCCCGCTGTTCATGAGGAACAAAGATGTGGCTGCTGAGGCAGTAAGTGTAACATACAAAGTACATTTAGTTATTTATAATATTTGAGGTACATATACTTTACTGGAGTATTTCCATGTTATGCTACTTTATACTTCTAAACCACTACATTTATTTGACAACGTTAGTTAATTGCTATATTATGAATACAAAATAGAAATCCCTATTATAATCCAGTGAATCCAGTGGTTGTACTTTAACAATATTTTGATGATAATACTTCTGTAAGTAACATGGAATTTTACTTGTAACAGAATATTTTTACACAGTGGTATTGCTACTTTTACTTCCACCACTAAATTTTACTATTTACTATTTACATAGTATAATACTTTTGCTTCACTACATTTATTTGACAACATTTGTTACTAGTTACTTACAGTAACAACAAATCAAGTAATAAAGTATGATATACCGTATTATTATAGATTAATCTACCCATTATTGTATAAATTAGTTGAAATAAGTACTTTGTGTACTTTTACTTAAATAATATGGACTTTTACTTGCAACAGAGTATTTTTGCTACTTTTACTTAAGTAAAAGATCTGAATACTTTATCGATCACTGAATTTAACCGGTTAACTGTAGCTAACGGTAACGTTTTTACTTTTACTTCTTCTTGTATAATTAATAAATAAATAAATCTAAAACAATATAACGGTTAACCATAAAGCAAATGTGTCAAACCTCTAGTTTGCCAGTTATAAGTCATGGATAAGAACATATTTTGGCATAGGTGTCATTTACACTGGGGACATGTCCCCGCCACTTTTTTAGAGCAAAATTTGTAAAAAAAACAAAAAAAAAAACAACAACAACACAAAAAGTATATAGCTTGCAGTTAAATAACAAATGAAAATGCTTTTAGAAAGGTTTATTTGCACATCAAGAAAACATGCAATACAAAAAAAAACAAATGTGCATTGTCCAAAAAAAAGTAACTTGCTACTGATTTTAAAATGATCCAAAAACGTGCAGCACCTGTCGCTCACTTTAACAACTTCTTGACACGGTTTCTTTTTGTCCAAGTTTTCCGTTCTCTCCCTTTGAACATGACAAAAGAGGAGGGAAGACTAAATCATGCCTACATATGTGTTGCCTCAGCAGGGATAATATTACGTGAGATTTACATAAATAAAAACATTTCCACCATAAATTAGTGCAGAAACGTTCACCAGAATGCAGGAAATAAAGTGATTAAAGATCAAAATTTCCTGGGGGAGGTTCCCCCAGACCCCTGCGCCTGTATATTTAGGCATTGACGATCTCTTTAAAACACTGTTTAAGGAACTTTTCGTCCCGTTCTTGTGAACCTAATATGGTGATGTCTCGCGAGCTAAGTGTCTCTTCACACCCCTAATCTGAGCCCCTATGTCAACACACCTTGTGTTTTGGTTTACCAGATTGTGGAATATCCTCCTCCAGCATGACTGTGGTGTGTTCTTAGCGGCTCTCTCGTTTTCTCACCACTCCAATAGACCGTATTATGGCTGCAACTAATTCAAGTTATTAGTCTATTATTTTCCTAAGCAACAACTGTGTCTATGAAATGTCAGAAAAAATGTCAGTTTTGTTAAAAGGTGATCTGTTTTGATATCTTGTTTTATTCAACCAGACGTCCAAAGATATTCAGATTTAATATGATTTACTGCGTGACAAAGAAAAGCATCATATCCTGACATTTTAGAAGTTGGAACCAGAATGTTTACTTGATAAATGATTAAATTGATGATCAAAAAAGTTGCTTTTGATTGATTAATTGTTACTAAACATCTGGACAAAAATCCCTTTGTATTTTCTTCAGTATTCTCTGTGCAGCTCACTAAATGTCACATCATTGCAGGTGACGGGGAGTGGAAAGACACTTGCTTTTGTCATTCCTATTATAGAACTGCTCCTGAAGAGAGAAGAAAAGCTAAAGAAGATGCAGGTAAGGATTTATCTACCTTGAACTGTTATATTCATGCTTTCAGATCTCCTGAGAGTGTTGAGCTTTAAATGGGTGTTTTCTGCAGGTTGGCGCCCTGGTGGTCACTCCCACAAGGGAACTGGCCCTACAGATCAGTGAAGTGATGGAGCAGTTCCTTCAGAAATTTCCACAGTTCACGTGAGTAGAGAGTCACTGAAGAGGACCTCAACTAAGATCTAAGACAATAATTAAATCTGACAGAGGTTTTTTTTTAATAGTACTTAAAGGGTAACTTTTTAACCTGGACCTTATTTTCACATGTTTTTGTGTCTTTGTGACTAATTGGGACAACATTTTTGGACATTGGTGCACTATTGAGTGAGCATGATGCAATTGACAGCAGCGGGACAGGGCTGCAACGTAATCCTTGCCGGCAATTGTGCCCCGTCAAAGTATGTCTACTGAAGAGGCTCAGATTGTTATTACAAGTGTCAACATTATGGAAAAGATCCCTACAGAGATAGACCTTTTTTTTTAAAGAGTTTTTTGTTAAACCAGAAACAGTCGCTTTATCGCTGTCTTCAAAGCCGCCAGACTCCCCTGACAAAAATGGTAATTTTACTTCTCCAGTCCACCGCTGCCTCAATCAGTTAGTTTGTGTTGTCGTGTTTTTAACCATTTAAAACACCAAATTGACACAGTAACACAAACAACAAAGTCACACAACAACACAAACTAACTGACGAGGCAGCTGTAGACCAGCAACTCCTACTGTATGTTCTGCAAGCTAAAATTGGTGTTTTTAATAATGGAGTTTGGTGGCTTTTATGACAGCGATATAGTGACTGTTTCTGGTTAAACAAAGAGGATCTTACTTTTTAAAGAAAGGTCAATCTCTGTAGGGATCTTTTCCATAATATTGTCAGACACTTGTAATAACAATCTGAGCCTGTCAGCAGCAAAAACAAGCACTTTAGTGGATTTACAGCGACGGAGCTAAGTTGCCTGCTAGGATTACGTTGCAGCCCTGTTTTGTTGCTGCCAGCTGCAGCACGTTTGCTCAGTACTGGACCAATTTCAAAAAATGTTGTCCCAATTAGTCACATAAATGCAAGAACTTGTGAAAATAAGGTCTAGGTTGAAAAATACTGAAGTTACCCATTAAATACTGTTAACAGAAGGTCCACTTGCTAGCTTTTTCCAGAGCTTTCAACCACATCTGTGGTGTTGGCTCAGCTGTAATCACCCATGACATGAGCTCCATACTTACCATAGGCTGTTGAACTCCAAAATCTTGCACCACCATCACTGATGAAGACTGTGAGGTGCTGTTGATAGTAGATGCTATATTAATAGCTGGAGACTTTGGTGTTACATCATGACCAACATTGCTTTACACCTTAAAGCACCAAAATCAGTGGTAATGTCAAAACCTGTTCTCCATTTGTGCTGAATTAACCTCTTCTTTTGTGTCAGTTAATCATGTTTCTGTTTTGTTTTCAGTAATTAAAATGCTTTATGTATGTTTTATTTTCAGGCAGATTTTACTGATTGGTGGCAGTAACCCGATAGAGGATGTTGAGAAGTTCAAGGATCAAGGGTACGTGATGGCATCAGTGTCGGTCACAAATAAAGCCGGACTGAGCTGTTTTAAGAGAATACTTCATTGTGTTGGGAAATACTCTTACTCTTATTTTTTTACTTTTGTAGAGAGCCAGGCTAGCTGTTTCCCTCTGTTTTCAGTCTTTATGCTAAGCTAAGCTAATCGTCTGCAGCTTCATTGTCAACGAAAAAAGTTAGAGTGGTATTAATCGTTTCATCTAAGTTAAGGCAAGAAAGTGAATAAGCCTCTTTTCAAAATAAGAGAAAAGAAACTCAGACAGTAACGAGTGTTTCCCTCAACGGCTTACATTTGCGCTTCTGTGTTTCAGGGCCAACATTGTGATTGCGACACCGGGCCGCCTGGAGGACATGTTCAGGAGGAAGTCAGATGGTCTGGACTTGGCCAGCTCAGTCAAGAGTCTCGATGTGCTGGTTCTTGATGAGGCCGATAGACTCCTCGACATGGGTTTTGAGGCCAGGTACGGAATACTAGATAGCCAGATAGGCACTTTATTCATCCCCGAAGGAAGACTGCTGTTTTGCAGTAGCAGCGGTTTACATAAAATAAAATAAAATCACAGTTTCAAAACGCACATGAGGTAGGAAAACATGCATGAGGTAGGTTAAAAAATACATTAAAAATATATATTCGTACAAACTATTATACATAGATAGACTAAAAAAGGCTAAAGATAGGTCTCTGACTGTGTCTGTGCAAACGAGCGTAGAAGGATGTGTATTGTCATTCAGAAGAAGTCAGTCTCCTCTTCCTGCCCAGAGGGAGTCATTGGCTGAATCCCAGTCTCCACACTCAAAGACTTTGAGGCATGTTCCCGGGCTTAGGGCTGTCCCACTGTCATATTGCCAAGTCTTTTTGACTTTTTGGGCCCTTTTTTGTGTACTTTCTGTATGTATGCATCTCTGCAGACTTTGCCATCGTTCATAGCGTTGCGATGTGTTGAACGCGGGGTTACCAGGGCCTGCAAACAAACAGGGAAGGGGCAACTACATGAAAACAGAAGTTTACATGTAAGTGTATGAAGTTGTTTTGATAAAAATTAGTCAATTGATTATTTGACAATGACCTCTTGTCCACAGCTTCAAATAATCAGTTTACCCTGCAAGAGCTTGGAACACATTCAAACCAGACAGTTGGCCCCTTTAGTGCCTGTATGTAAAAAATGTTAAATCTCAAACCAGATATGTTGAAAAGTGCGGCGCTGTCCCATCATACCATTTCGGGCCCTTGCAGCGTCTCACGCTTCAAGGTTCAGTGTTGAAGTTTTAGTGGCATCTAGTGGTGACATCTATGTAAGAGGACCTATGTAGATAGAAATGGTTCATTCTCAGTTAATAAAACCATAACGGTTCATTTTATAAGGTCTTTATACACCACTGAAAACATAGTTATGGATATTATATTGCATTTCTGTATGTCTGATCCTCCTAGATATTACACACTGAACCTTTAAGCACTTCCCAGGTAACGTCAGCTAAGTCTGTAAGGGTTCAGAGTTTAGGCTTTAGGGTGGAGATTGGGATTGGGCCATTGTTTATGTTAATTGCAGAATCACTTCTTGTAGCGGCCCTTATTAATGCGGAGCTGAAGAAGGGCATTTCCAAAACTAGACCCTCACCACTTGTACTTCGACACTGAGCGAACTCTGGTCGGAGTCACCCTCACAGCCAAATCGAGCCCCCTAACCCGCCTAGGGTATAAATACAGCGGCCAACTTTCGGACAAACTACCCTCTCCCCCAGCGTAAATAGGATCTGACGCTACCGCTTTACTCACTGCTATAATATGTGGATCAGCTAAACAACAGTCGTGTTAAGATTCAGGATTGATGTTGAGGAAAAGTGTGTTTTATACAATAACGAAACTGAAACCATTTGGTTTATAAACAGCCATAAAATAAATGCCAAAGTATTCTAGAATATTTCTTTAAGACTATGACTTAAGATATTTACGAAAAATAAATATTACATTCTTTTATTAAGATTGATATTCGTTGTAAAAGAAAAGCCTCTTTATCTTAAATGAACAATGTTACATTCACAAATACACCATTTTGAAATGAATCAAACATTATATTGAAGCATTATATAGTCTGAACAATTTAAAACAGATAAAAAAAAATGTATAAAGACTTAACTATTTTTCTTCAATGCCTTTGTTGCTTGTTACGTGATCCCCCTGTATATCTAGTTGTGTCATCTTCTATTATTCTGTCCTTTAATGTCGGCTATTTTCTTTTGGCTGAAGATTTTCGTAAAAGATGATCATATTTTTAATTAAACACAATATAACCTTTGGGCTTCGTTGTTAACCTGTGAACGGTGATATGAAATGTTAGTGTAGTTTCGGGAATTTAAAAATCCTACATCTTAACTGTCTAAGTCACACGGTACTCACATTTCAAAGAAAGGTCCCCCGTCGTGCAGCAATGGGTGTTACACACCTTCAACAAGCCGGCATCGGTGCTCACTCGCCATTGTTTAATAACCCGCTACCACTCCGCCCTCATTGGTTTCGGATGGTACTCAAGAGACGGCTGCAAAGAAAAATGTAGCCTCAGTCTTACACTTCCAGTGCAGTTCATTGTCATTTGAATACCCAGTGTCTGTAGCCCTCCACCTCTTCTCCACAGATGTAAATGGTGTTCAGATTAGTCCACAACCAGCTCCTCCTTCTTGGCCACATTTAAGGTCTACATCTTTATGTTGTTATGTGAAACGAAATGAGGTGTTGTAGGTATTTTAGGTCTTTGCGCCGCTAACAGAGCGTGTGTCTGTGTTTGTGTATCCAGTCTGAACACCATCTTGGGCCACCTGCCCAAACAGAGGCGTACAGGCTTGTTTTCAGCCACTCAGACCCAGGAGCTGGAGAAGCTGGTGAGGGCCGGCCTCAGGAACCCAGTACGCATCACTGTCAAAGAGAAGGGCGTGGCTGCCACCGCCGTCCAGAAAACGCCCTCTAGGCTCTGCAACTACTACACCGTGAGTAACAGCTCAGCCTGATGCCTGTTTCACACCAGTCAGCCCCAAAATTTAAATTTAAAAGCATTCTTATGTTTCCATTTCAGATATGTAGATCGGAGAACAAGTTCAACAGCCTGGTGACGTTTCTAAGGCAGCACAAGCACGAGAAGCATCTGGTCTTCTTTAGGTATGTTAAGCTGGGCAGACGCTGGATGTTTTAAAGCATCTTCATCTTTTAATCAGCGGCCAAAATATGCAACATATAACAGAACCCGCAGTTGGACCACATCCTCAAACACAAAAGGAAAGTCAGCAGTTCTACTATGAACAGAAAGTCAGAAGAGAAAAAGAAAAGTGTGGAGGCGCAAGTTCAGTTTTATATCACAACTACAGTTTTATCCACAACATGCCAAAATACTACTCCAAGTCTACTCTTCTGGGAAGGCTTTCTACAAGATTTTGAGTTTGAGAGTTTGTCTGTGGGCATTTATGCCTGTTCATTAAGAAGAGCATTTGTGAGGTCGGACAGTAATGGTTGATTTGCAGTCTCCGTTCTAGTTCATCCCAAAGGTGTTGGAAAGGGTTTAGATCAGGGCTCTGAGCAGGCCAGTCAAGTTCTTCCACACCAAACTGGGAAAAGCATTTCTTTATAAAGCTGTGTTTATGCACGGGGACATTGTCATATTGAAACAGGAAAAGGTGAAACACAAACTGTTGGAAGAACTAATGTCTAAAATTAAGATAATTAAGATAAAAGAACACACCATGAAAAAACAGTCCTTAACCAAATTTCCATATTTCCATATAGTGTAAATACAGGGTGACCAATTCGGGGTTAAAATCTGGTTTAATCTGTTGTATGTGCACAGCATTATGCTTGAAGTTTTTTAGTCAGGTCTGCAGTTACTGACTGAGACAACCTCATGCTATCTCATCATCAGTACGTGTGCGTGTGTGGAGTACTACGGTCGAGCTCTGGAGACTCTGGTCAAGAAGGTCACCGTCCACTGCATCCACGGCAAGATGAAAAATAAACGCAACAAGATCTTTGCAGACTTTCGGGCCCTGAAAAGGTGAGATCTGGTTTTGTGTGTGTGCAGAGGTATAGTAAATCTGGTTGTGTGTGACTTTCTCATCTTTGTGTTATGTCACAGTGGGATCCTGGTGTGTACAGATGTCATGGCCAGAGGCATCGATATCCCCGATGTGAACTGGGTGCTGCAGTACGATCCTCCCAGCAGTGCCAGGTGAGAGAGCAAAAACTGAGTCTCTGAAACCTACAGAACTGGGTCTGAAAGGTGAAAGTTATATATTCTGTATTTCATATGATAAAAGTGACATTTTTTAAATAATTTATTTAAAAACAGTTCACAAATGTACAGTTTCATTCTTTATAGAGGGTAAATAATTTCCAACTGGTCAATAGTTTTTATCAGACGTTACTCAAACTGGAGTAAATGGAGCATTTGTTTGGGACTATTTTCAGCAGTGTTTTTGCAGGTCCCGAAAAAGTCTAAAATTGAATCATCTGAATTTTAGGCCTTAAAATGTCTTCAAGCCGATTTTGTCATGTCTTGAAAACTAATTGGATTAATTATGTCCTAAGATGTTTAACACATCCAGATGTGAATACCAGAAAATGCCCTGCTAAGCCCTAATTTTAAGAATGAGTAATAAAATAAGTGTCATGATTTCTAGTTGTGGTTTTTCTTTTTGTCTTTGTCTCAGTGCCTTTGTCCATCGATGTGGACGTACAGCTCGTATTGGTAATCAGGGAAATGCCCTCGTCTTTCTGCTACCAATGGAGGAGTCCTATGTCAATTTTTTATCCATCAACCAGAAAGTGAGTTTCAGTATTTTGCACAATTCTCTAAAACCTGAGTTTACAACATTCAGTCAAGTAACACAAAAAATCAGAGGAAACCATCCTTTTTCTTCCTGCTCTGAATGGATTGCTAAACAGAGCAAATGTATTAATAAAGTATAAGGCGAAAAGTATTTAGAGTGTCTTCAGGGAACGAGAAGATTTCCGATATAGAAATCAAAATAAAAGAGTGCGTCATCTGTTCCTTAAACCCATTGAATCAAAAGCATAGATTAATAATCAGCGTCAGAAAAATACTAAAACATGTTTTAGTATTTAGTATTTCTTTATATATGTCCTCTCCTGCACATAACAGAGTGACCGTCAGCCTCTTACAGCGGTGTATTAATTTGCAGAGGGGTGGACTCCCGTCATAAACTTTGATGACTTCAGACTCAACTTGGACTTCAACACCAATGACTCAATATTTAAAAAGTCAGTTAATTGTCCCTCATTTCCTGAATCAACTAACGTTAACTCTATTCATTCCCAGCAAGTCGACACTAATGCCAGTTGGAAAAATGACACCAAAGATAATTTTCTTCTTTGTGTGGTAGCCAAAACAATGACTTGATTAGGACTCAAACCTCAAAGTTTATTACTTGACTCAGGATTTGCCTGTCTCGACTTGGGACTTGAGTGCAAAGACTTGGTCCCACCTCTATTAATTAGACTGTGCAAGTTCAAAATTGTTAATACATCGTTTATATGCGAGGATGAATCCCCAAGGATGTATTTTCATGTAGAACTTGTGCTTTAACAATCAAATAGCAAGACTTTTTTTAGTCTATCAAGTACAACATATGGAATATACGATATTGTCACTATTTTTCTGATCAGAAATCGAAATGTTAACTCCCATCCAAGATGACAGGAAATCTAATGTAAAACCATTACTGGCTGGCAGTAAACATATAGTTATACTGTAGAGAATAATGCAGCTGAATGACTTTTGACAAACTCCACCCCTCTCTTCCTTAAACACCAAACATAAAAAAAAACTCCATTTGAAACAACACATTGCTGACGGAGATATTAGATCGTACTCTGCATGGAGTAATGAATAATTCATGAGTTTTATTTGATATCGGCATTATATATCAGGCATCAGCCGCCCTGCTCTCTAAATATCGGCATCGTCTATCAGTCGACCACTAATTGATCATATTTCAGTATTTATTGTGGACGATTACTGAGAGACTTTAAATCTGGACTCTGGATAAGAGATTCAGCTAAAACTGAGAAATGCTAAATTTATACCAGCACTTATAAAGGACATGTCTTTTTGTGATATCCCCAGTGCCCGCTGCAGAAGATGCCCCCTATAGGTGATGTTGTGGACGTGCTGCCCAAAGTGAAGGCCATGGCTCTGGCAGACCGTGCCATGTTTGACAGAAGCATGAGAGCCTTCGTCTCCTACGTTCAGGCTTACGCCAAACACGAATGTAGTCTCATCTTCAGAATCAAAGGTGAAAACAGCCGCTTTACATCGTAGATCCAAATCTGTAGTATGCATGAAACACGTAACATAACATTTTGTGCCACATTTGTCTGTCTAGATCTGGACTTTGCCTCCTTAGCCCGCGGCTTTGCCCTCCTCCGCCTGCCGAAGATGCCTGAGCTGAGGGGGAAAACATTTCCTGGTTTCATTGAGACGACAGTAGACACAGAAACCATCCGCTACAAGGATAAGAACAGAGAGAAACAGAGACAGAAGATGCTAGCCGAGCTGAAAGACAGGCCTCCCCTTCCCAGAAGGACGTTCGTCAAGAATAAGGCCTGGTCTAAACAGACGACCAAGAAGGAACGCAGGAAAAAGAGGGCAGCCAAGAGGAAGCACGATGAGGTATTTGCGTCCATTGAACATTGTGATAAAACCGAGTGTGTGGGTGGGCTGAATTTATTTATAGCTCTGCTTTTATCTTTTCTGTGTCTGCAGGGCTCTGATGTGGAAGATGAAGACATGAAAGAGCTTTTAAATGACACTCGCCTCCTCAAGAAACTAAAGAAAGGGCAAATCAGCGAGGAGGACTTTGAGAAACAGATAACAAGTGATCCAAAGTCAAAACACAGGACAGAAGGACCGTCACACGACAGCTCAGAGAAGGAGGACGTATGATCAAACGGCTGTATTCCACTTTGTCCGCGTGAAAAGTTCAGTTAAATCCACAGCAACACCTTTTGACATTTGTTCACTTTTTCATTTATTGAAAGTTGTGAGGCCCAGTTATAAATAAAGCTTGATGAGTTCATCGCTGACAGCAGACGGGGTGAGGACTCCCAGGTCGGTGAAGAGGAGGGTGATGAGGGAGGGAGGTGTGTAATCGATCATCGGATGCTCCTCTGACAGGTTCTGTGAGGTCTTCAGGGTATCCGCTTTGTACTGTGGAGATGAGAAGGACACATGTAAAGAAATACCCTGAATAAAAACATAAGTCAAGATATTAAATTCTCTGACCTCTTACCTTAAATTTATCTGGCACGTCCTGCTGGTTGAGCGGATAGAGACGGACAAATTTGAAACTCTCTGCCACGACGTAGAAGGGCTTGTTGTGAGCTTTAGAGCACACGGCCATCTGATAAGTGCCAATCTGCAGGAGCAGTGGGGGAAATATTTAGGTGTCTGTATCACAAGCGATATCAGTATAGATACAGTATGTGAAACACGGGGCCCGTATCAAAACGATTAGTGGGTTATAATACAGCACATCGCTTATCAGGTCACATGGAATTGCCATTTGTCCAAATCCTGCTCTCTTGACAGCAGGGTTTACTACCAGTCTACTAGAGCTACAACGATTAGTTAATTAATCCATTAGTGGTCAACTATTAATTGAATCATTTTGAGTAATTTTTAAATAAAGTTGGTATAAATGATCTGATCCCAGCTTCTCTAATGTGAATGTTTTCTGGTTTCTTTACTCCTCTGTGACAGTAAACTGAATATCTCTGGGTTATGGACAAAACGAGACAGTCGAGTGACGTCGTCTTGAGCTTTGGGAAACACTGATCGACATTTTTCACCGTTTTCTGACAGTTTATGATCCAACAACAAATGGATTAATCGTGAAAATGATCGAGAGTGAAATGAATCGTTTGTTGCAGCCCTATCTACTACTGACAGCAAGCTATTCCTTTTTTCATTTCTGACAAATGCACTTATTGTACTTTGGACAAAAGCGTGAGCTAAAATGTAAACTTTGGGCTTTAAGGAGTACTACACCAATTTATCATCAGTCTCCTGTAATATTTTCAGAATTCGACTCGCGGTGAACAGTTTAGAACCAAATTGCTGAAAAGGTTATTGTTTTTTTTCCAAATTTTCATTCTTGCAGAACCTGCTGCCTGCATTACCCACGATGCAACTTGATCGCCAACAGTTAGGTCTGAGATTATAATGTGTTTTGGAAGTAGCTGCTAATGTAGTCTGCTGCGGGCTCCAGAGCTCTGGTGAGCTAACGTCTTTCTAACTCCACACCCACTTTTTAAAATTTCAAACTTGCCGTCTTCAGCTTAGACCGACCAACGCTGACTCAGCTGACATCACTTGAGGACGTTCATCAGATTTCACACAGCTACAACACTAAAGGCCAACTTATACTTGTGGGTTCAATCTATACAGACACGCACCTCCCCAAAAATGTAACTACACGTCGCGGCGACGTCGCGGCGACCTAGACAGCAAGAACTCAAATTTCCTCCTGCCTCCAGCGGTTTAAGGGTCGTACACACATCTTCTCCAACGCCTTCTAACGTTCCTGCGTTTTAGTAATTGGACTAAAAGTAACTGCTGATCAACATCAATCAGCTCCGACTCCAAAACGATCCGCTCACTTTGGGTCGCCATTGTTCATAGTAGTTGTTCACCAACGAAGAAGAATACAGTCAACACAGTGCATCATAGAAACCCACCGCCAGCTAGCATTCTGAATGAATTTTAAATGGTCACGGCGGCACGTAGCCTACGCCGTCTGCTACAGCAGTAGTACTCCCAAACACCTGTAAAAACACACACTTCATAGCTGGGTTGGAAAACAAAGAGTTAACTGGGCCAGTTGATAACCAGCTTTTTGACACCAGTGATCCAGAATCCACCAATGTTAATCCAGAGACTTGGTTGAGCTTGTTTTGTGATACAGGCTCCTGACTCACTGAAACACACCTTGTTGATGATCCCTCCGCTCTCAACAACTCCCTCTGCACCGACGATAACTAGGTCTACTTTCTCCACGACATACCTGTAACAACAAATACACAGAGCATAAATGCTACTGAGTTTACACTGACAATGTGTGATGATAATAAATATATTTACCCCACAGCTGCATCCAGGACTACTGTGACTGGAACGTTGAGTTTCCTCAGGGCTTCTGCCATCTGTCGTCTGAATAAAAGAAAATCTGACTGAATGAGTGTGTGTTCACCCTCAGAATGAAACCAGGACGCAGTTTACTGCCACTATTCACTCACCCGGCTGAGTCAGGCTGCGATTCAGTCACATAGACAGAGAAGCGTTTCTTCTCAGCTGCAGCTTTTTCCAGCACCCGGAGGACGACTCTGGAGTACGAGTGAGTCAGGATTTTCTGTGAGAGGAAAATTTCGACGAGAAGGGAAAGTCATTTGTTGCCTAAATACTGTACGTACAAACGGTGCACTCTGTGTCTGCCTGTATCTAAGCTGTGGCCAACTCACAACTACGTGTCTTTCTGGAGGGAAATAATGACCTTCAGTTACAGCAGTCAGCTCATAGTACAGTAGCTGCCACTGTGGATGATGTTGCTAACCTGCTTAATAACAAGACACTGTGCAGTACTGTTTGTAGATCTGTCCAAGGCTTTTGTTAGAACATTTTGTTAAATAAGTTGCTTTCATTTCATTTTGTTTACAGCTGGTTCAAATCAGACCTTTCAGGTAGAGTTCAGACTGCTTGTGTCAATGGGGATAAGGTGTCCCACAAGGATCAATATTAGGCCCCCCTGGAATTTACGTTAAAGTAGTTAATTTGCTACTTCCTGGATGATCATAATTATTTTATTTTATCCCATAGAAACTTAATTAATTGAGCCATGATATGTTAATATTGCTGTTTGACATAAAAGACTACAGCAAATACATGAAAAAGGCCCTAAGGCATTTTTTAGTTGCTGACTCTGGGAAGGTGGGAGAAACATCCCCAAAACTCTTTTTTTAACTGGTCATATTTGTATTTTTAGATTTTATTTTCAGGCTTTCTGGACTTGATTTGCCCTCCGAGGAACGAATAAAGTATTTTGAAATTAACTAATGATGTGTATTTTCCAACTGATCAATGTCAGTTTCTGCGCTGGTGACACCATCCTGTATGCAAGACAGAAAATAATTTAACAATGCACTGTACTGTCTACACGGGATTATGAAGATAAGCTTTATGGTAACGTTGATTTTGCTCTATAAATAATGATTATTATTACTTTATTATGAGCATGCTCCTGCCACTTCCCTTGTTTACCACAGTGCGGTTTGATTCATAACTGCAGGGATGTGTAACGTCCTTTGTCGAGTTCAAAGTGAACCACCATGACAACAGATCACAGAATATGTTAACGCTCCTCATGTTAACTCTGAGGAAAGACAAACTGGTTTCCAGTGACATGCACGTCACTACTGAAATTAACTGCAAAACAAACTGAAGTTAGAGACACTCATTCATCTTAGGGGCTTCAAAGTTATACTCAACTATATTTTTAATGATTCTTGTCTTGTATGTATGTAATTTGTTCTCAGGTTTCTTGTAAAAGATTTAGACTTTCTGAATTAGTAAGACTTAACCAACTAACATGAGTAAATACGTGGTAACAATGACGGTGAAACAAATACTTACAGCGCCGTCTTTGATGAAGGTGTGACAGAGCTTAGCAACCTTGGCCCTGGACATTGAGATCTTCTCTAAAAACAGTTCTCCTCTCTCCTCCATCACCTTCTTACAGCGAGACAGATCCTGACACACGGAGAAACAAAAGATAGGGTTTTCCTTGTAATAACATATTGTTGAAAGTAGAGACATAATAATACTCTCACTGGTTCTCCTGTGGTTTTTAGGAGCCAGTACCTAATTACCTGACATAACTGAGACGCCTCTCAATCAAGCACACATGTCCCCAGAAATACTTCACTTTAGGCCAACAATAAAAGATTCTCAGGTTTTTAAAAATACTGAATCCAAATTCCCCAGCAAAATCTCACTCACCTGAACATGATTTTACTAGCTCCAACCAAACTCTGTACAATTATTTTGAGTATTTAAAAAAACTACACAAACTGTTCAAGTGAACATTTTCTGTCCTTAAACCGGTCTAAGAGTCTTAAAATCACAACATATTTAATTTAAATATGTTTTTCAATGAAAATGAGAATAATTATGTAAAAATGATAATTTCCCCTAGTATCGTTTTGCAACCGCATCGTCAGTCAAAATAATCGCAATTAGATGTTTTTAAAAAATTGTTCAGCCCTGCTTCACAGCTAAATATGTAATTATAGTGAAGAAGACCAAACCGCTTGATAAAAACAGACGTATTATAAGATATTTAGTCTAGAAAATATCAGAATCAGTTTTATAATATCTGTGATATTTGTGTTCAGAAGTGCTGCATTAAATATATCACTGTAAACCATGTTATCAAATAATAAAAGCATTGTCCAAGAAGCCTAGCTATAAAACATGCTAAATATTAATTTACCATATTGGTGTAGTTTAGGCCCAGTTTCCACTGTGAGCTCATGTGTTTGACCTTAATGGTTGATAGATATTTATGTAAAATTTCATGACTTGCAGTGTGATGGGATTGAAGGTTGATATTTATTTAACTAGCCTATTAGTTTTATGACATTTTTAATTGATATCAGGTGGAAGCGTCATATTTTTACATCTTTTAAACACCGACACACTGTGATGAAATCCATGAAATGTTATTGTCCATCCATCTCTAGTATGTTAAAAAGGTGTTTTTTTTTTGTTTTTTTTTAAATCACAAAAGTCCCTTCATGTTACTTTTCCTCCACCACGGACCAGCAAGGAAACAGTCCAGGGAACAAAAAGAAGCAATTCTGCAGTAAAAAGAATGAGTTTGGAAGATATCCACTTGATTTGGCTTATTCAGACTGCTGAAACTGCACATTATTCCATCTCCTACATTGGAATTGCACTTGGAAATGATCTCTTCTGGTTTTTCTTTATGGTCAGAACATGACAAACAGTGGATCACTTATCAAATCTGAGGTAGCTCATTCAAAACTATTATGCATGACAATAAATATCTTAATAGAAAAATTAAGTACGAATTTGTTCGTGATACAAATGAATTAAATCAAACATTTATTGAACATTTGTTATTGAGGAAAATTATATCGTGCACCCTGTTGTTATGTACATGTAGGCATGTGAGTGTTGTTTTAAGATACACCAGAACCAAAAAAAAGCTAAATTCTCAGATTCCAGCTTCTTAAATGTGATTATTTAATTGTTTCTTTCCTCCTCTCTAACAGCAAACTAAATATCTTTGAGCCGTGGACAAAACAAGACATTTGGGGAACAACATTTTTCACCATTTTCTGACATTTTATTGACCAGAAAACTAATCGTTTAATCGAGAAAACGATCGTCAGATTAATTGATAATGAAAATAATGGTTAGTTGCAGCCCTAATAGTACATAAAAGAGCAGCCAATAATCCTGTAACCTGTAACATATTCTTACCTACAAGTGATTATATATTTAATAGTTTAAATACACCTGACATGTGCATATAATCATCATCATCATCATCATCATCATCATCATGCAGCCCTGTGTCCTACACACCTGGTGCTCCAGTGATGTGAGAGTTATGAAGCGCAGGAAGAGCTCTCCTCCTGAGGACACGGCCACGGAGGAGTCCACTCCTGTCAGGCAGTCTATGGCCCCCGTCAGGCTCTCCCTCATGCCCTGGATGGTTTCCCCTGAGGGGGACAGGGACAGCTGGTCAAACTAGGTTGTGGTTCACTAGAATCACAAGGTGCTTTGCTCATTACGGGTAAACACAACACGATGCTGGGAATGAACACACCTTTGTCTCTCTTGAGGAATTCTAGCAGAGTGCGGATAGCGGCCACAGCAGAGGCCATGTCCGGGTCTTTCCTCATCTGAGCCCTGAAGTACTCCACCAGCTCTGACCCGGGACAAAGTAAAACACGGTTAATATCAGCGCCACTGAACACGAAATATGACAGGAAATGGGGAAACTAGAAACAACTCACCTTCTTCATTCATCCTGAAACACGCAAGAGAGTCTAAAAAGCCGCAATACTTAGAGTTAAAACAAACACCGGTGGATATTTAGTGAATTCAGTCAGTCCACGATTTGTTGACACCTTTAACGAGTCTGTGTTTGACAGAGAGCCGCTGACTCCGCGTCCCTGCAGCCTCCGTTCAAATTAAATTATACGCACAATCCCAAAAAAAATAAAAAATCACACTTTTCAGAGAGCTGCCACAAAATACGCGTTTGAGTCTATGTGAAAAGTTTTATTGCCGCTTTATTGCCGCTATTTGCAGAGTTGCACTGCGTTAGCTCATCTCCCCCAAAGAAGCTGCGTGTTGACGTGTCGCGAAGAGATGACGTAGGACGTTTTTCCATCCCCAGCGGCGTGCCGCCTTCACGTGCTGTCGGGAATATCGACGGGAATTTGAGCACTGATGAATTTGTTGGAGGCTTGTGATTTTTGTAATTTAGGCAGGGAAACATTATTTTGTTCGCATTTTATTTATATTTTTTATTTACGACGTAATATAAACATTTAATTAAGATACGATTAGATATTCATTAATCCTCCATAGGGGCAATTCTTGCAGCACAGAGAAATGTAAATAACAAAAAAGTAAAGTTTAATGTAGATGTATGAATAATATATATACACTGCATACACAATCAATATATAATTAACATTCTACGTAGGAGTAAAAATATATACACGCTTTATGAACATAATATACAATCAATATACAAATACCAATACCAATAATAATAACATAACAACTATGTACAATCCAATAAATTCAGAAAATAGAGTCTGTCGTTGGATGCTGTGGCCTTATGGAGTCTGATGCTCACAAGTTTACCCAGTTTGTTGGCACCACAAGACCCGAAAGAGCAAAGAAGATAACACTGGCCACTACAGACTGGTAGAACATGTGTAGCAGTAATTATCCATTACGATGTAGTTGTAAGCAGATTTTCTAAAACTAAATGAGGACAAGACAGAAATTCTTGTGGTTGGCTCTAAGACACAGAAACCAATTATTTCTAATAGACTGCAATGTCTGGCTGTGCAGGAAAAGAGCGTTTTCAAAAACGTGGCTGTCCTGTGAGTTGGATTTTAAATCACATTTTAACAGTGTTACAAAGGTCGCATTTTTTCATTTAAGAAACTTTGCCAAAGTCAGACCCCACCTTGCCTTGGAAGATGCCAAAAAGTTGTTACATGCTTTTGTTTTTCCAGGATTGGATTATTGTAATGCCCTTTTTACTGGTATACCCAAAAAATATCTTAATAGGCTACAACTAATTAAAAATGCGGTAGCAAGAGAACACATTACTCCAGTTTTAGCTTCTCTCCACTGGCTAGAATTGATTTTAAAGTTCTTTTACTTGTTTTTAAAGCACTTCGTGGTTTAGCACCTTCTTATCTATCTGACCTTTTATCAAATTATGTTCCAACTCGCTGTCTCAGGTCCTCTGATGCTGGTCTACTTAATGTCCCAAGAACAGTAAAGCAGCTTTCTGTTATTATGCACCAATGGCTTGGAACAAAATCCCATCACAAATAAGAGAAGCAGCCTCTCTTGATAGTTTTAAGAAGCAGCTAAAGACCTACTTTTATGCTTTTGCTTTTAACTGATTATAGTTGTTCTTTTGCTTTTAATTGATCACACATATTGTATTTATTTCATGGCTGCGACCCTTTCCCAGTTTTAATACCTGTGTTTTTCTGCTTGTGGATAAACTACACAGTGTGAGACTTCAAGGTTTCTTAGTGACAAAGTACTTTCTGCAGTTTTGAAACAGGCCACCAGAGGCCAGCATTGTCATTTTAAATTTCTATTAACTTTATTTCGATGCAATCGTGTGCTTATTCTGGATTTTTTTTCAAGCTGTAGAGTAAGTAGACTACAAATGCTAAAGTTAATATCATCATTATTATTATCATTAAATTAAATAACATTTAATTTAACAAACTGGCTGACATGTTGGCCTGACAGCTGAGTTTGAGGAATGCTGGGGGGCATTCATGCTCTAGTTAGCATGAATGTGCTCAATACATTTCACAGAAGTCTGCCAATTATTTTTTAATATGTCTTCTGTACAACTGGGGAATTTTTGTGGTGGTGGCATTAGAGGAAAGGTCAAGGGTTACCCAAAAATGGTAGGATAAAGATAAGATGTTCCTTTATTATAATCCCCTGTAGGGAAAATTCAAATTGACACAAAGTAAAAGCAAGAATAAAATATAATAAAAGTAGAATCAATAATCAATATAGAAATCAAATTTAAAGAAGTGTACACACCATATACAATCCAAATCGAAGATAGTATACTGTTGGACATCTATACATGTGCAGGGTTATCATCTGGAAGGCATGAATGTTTATTTCACGGTAATCTGGCTGTTAGTTCTCCAGATTAGTGGCTCGTCACGGAAGAAAGTGTTGGTCAAAGGAGGATTTTGACGGTAGCACAATACAAACGGTCAAAAGGTCACAAAATGATTAAGTGAATCCATCCTTGAAAATACCATACCAACATTGGTTAATCAGATATGTGTTGGATGCGGGGTATACTGAATACTGAGGTCACACTGACCCCTCAAAATGAGGCCGCTTCAGCTGAGGGCCACCTGTTGCCTTTGCAGTTCCACTGGTGATTTCCAGGTTGTTACATTTAAATCATGTTTGTAGGTCAGAGGAAGTAAAACTTGTGCATAATTTCAGAATAATATATATGATATGATAGGATTATAATTATTGATGCATTAATGTTTCAATTTAACCACTGTTTATACTGCTGGGTGGTTTAATGTATAATAATACACCAACATTTACTTTTTTATTACATTTTGTATTTAAAATCTGACACTGCAATGTAACTAGTAACTAAAATAAATGTAGAGAAGTAAAAAGTACAATATTTCCCTCTGAACTGTACTGGGAGTAGAAGTATAAAGCAGCGTAAAATGGAAATACTAAAATACAAGTACCTCAAAATTGTACTTTTATACAGTTTTTGAGTAAATACACTTTACTTTCCACCACTGTCTTTCAACTTTTACTTGTAATGGATCTTGGTTCCATAAGTAAAATTGATACTTTTACTTTAGTACCAAATCAAAATCCATATCTAAATAAATACTGAATGAGTCATAAGTAACAAGTTCCTCTGCTTTCACTATTTCTGATACTTTAAGAACATTACCCAATAATATTTTTGTACTTTTACCTAAGTTAACATTTTCAATGCAGGACCTTAACTTGTAAGGGAATATTTTTACAGTGTGCTATTGGTACCTTTACTTAAGTAAAAACTGTGTGTTTCTTATATACAGTCTATGGTTTCGACTATAAAACATATAATTATTTATAGGTTAGTGGATATGTTAATGTCACAGGGTTTTTGCCACTACATGACAGATTAAACTGCATCATAAACTATATATACATACATAGTAAGCTATAATTAGACATTCTACACTCACATGGGCCATTGCTCTGCTTTCCCTGTTTTTAATACATTAATAACATTTCCCTGATAATAATTTTGTACTTTTCCTTACTGTACTGTACACCTTTACTTAGGCCTAATGTACTGTTATTGTTTGATATTCTGTAGACTAAAGGCTTACTTGACAAAAGTGATCAAGAAAAATAAATATAACACATATCAATATCCTGTATCAGCCCATCAGGAACCCTTGTTTTGTTTATAATGTTTATACCGTACTTTACTAAGTTAACAGTTTCAATGCAGGACTTTTACTTATGATCTTTGTTATAATGTGGTATTCATTTTCTTTTTTAACTGTATTTTAATTTCTTAAGTGATGATTGTCTTTGCTCTTGTGAAAGCATTTTGTAACATTGTTTTGAAAAGTGCTCAATAAATAAAGATTGTTATTATTATAATACTCTGAGGATATCCCATGGATTGAATGGGATCTCCACGCTTGTGTGCAGCCTCTTTGTTCTCCTGCTCACACTCAGCAGGGACACGGATCTGTCTTCACAGGGCAGCTGCAGCCTTTTAGTCTTAGTTTTCCTCCGGTTTTGGGCTGTTTGGTTGGACAAAACAAGTAATTTGACAACATTACAATTGGCTCTGGGAAACTCTGATTGTTATTATTGTCTGACATTTTGTAGATTAAAGGATTACTTTATTAATTGAACAAATATCAACAAAAACCCATCTGTAGCCTCATCAGGAAACCTGGTTTTGTTTGCAATGTTTAAATGCACAGTTTCAACGCAGGACTTTTACTTATAATTTATTGTTATAATATGGTATTAATTGTTTCTTTTTTTTTAACTGTATTTTAATTTCTGAAGTTTCTTCCTGCTTTTACAGTGCATTTATTTGCTATTTGTCTGTGCTTTTGCTCTTGTGAAGGCACTTTGTAACATGGTTTTGAAAAGTGCTCTATAAACAAAGGTGATTATTATTATTATTATGACACTTTGAATACTTCCTGCACCTCTGAGGATATCCCATGGATTGAATGGGATCTCCACGCTTGTGTGCAGCCTCTTTGTTCTCCTGCTCACACTCAGCAGGGACACGGATCTGTCTTCATAGTGCAGCTGCAGCCGGGCTCTCTCTGCTAGGCCCGCGCATGCGCAGCGGCTCCTCTGTGCGCTCTACTGTTTGCATTGTGTCTGAACTGCCGGCGAGCTTTAAAAATATTATACCCACCGCGGCAATGTCGGGCAGGTCGGTCCGAGCTGAGACCCGGAGCAGGGCGAAAGATGACATCAAGAGGGTCATGGCCGCTATTGAGAAAGTACGAAAATGGTAAGAGGAAGAGAGGAAAAAGAGACACAAAAGCGGGCTTCGTTATCTAACACGAGAAAGGCTCGCTTGTTGGGGGAGGAGAGGGAAGGAGACGGACTGAGGGATGAAATTGAAAGAAAAAGGACACATTTCTGAGCGGGATTCACGGCAGATGTACTTGCAGCTCAGGTGCACCGGGGCGCACTAGTGCGGTGCACCATACCCGGCCGTCGTCTATCAAACATACAACATGTACCCGGGTTTTTTTTCTCTCTCTCTCTCTCTCTCTCTCTCGCGCTGATTTTAACGGCAAGGGTTGAACCCAGAAGCCATTTCGATGCAGTCACATGAAGCCATTGCTGCCCGCTGTTGAGCTCGTAGCTCCGGCGGCGGGGTTTAAAGGACCGAAACGTCCGATAACTCTCGACTTGGAAACAATTTTTGACGACGGCGCTCTTGAGTCGGAGTAGTTTAGTCCGTCTGGAGTTTTAAATTAAGC